ATAATAATAACTCGATTTCAGATACAATGACAGGAGAAGACCCCTACTCGAGAACTACAGCCAATAAAAATTTTGAACCCCGCTACGTCAATCCGAGTAATTAATTCGGTTCGTCCCAAGTCTCCGACTTCATGCTCCCGGAACTATTTTCTGTCCGCAAAGGTGGAGGGGCAGATGCAGTCGTGCCAATTGTCTGGTTCATATGGAATACCACGGGTCGCGACGAAGCGACGCTACCACTTTCGACTTGAATAGCCTCCTTGAGGGATGTAGTTGACGACCAGACTGTCGGGATACAATTCAACATCACAGGACGGCTAAAAGTAAAAAGCCACGTACTAGTCGCAAAGACGGTGGATATAATCGCAACATATGCGTTCACCGCGTAAATGACGGCATAGAGGGTAGCATCTTTCGCAACAAAGGTAGTAATGATTCGGATGAGCCCAAAGATTACTGATTGAACATGATGTTAGCCCGAGTTCCCCGAATGATGAACCGTGGATACGAACGAGGGAATACAAAGTTGGTGCTCGTAATCCAGAATAATTTTTGCAGCCTGCTTGCATAAGATTCTGTGGAGTTTCACATGAACATGAAAACCAACGGATCCAAAGAAATATCTCACCTCTGTTACTCCCAGGGACCCGCTCAATGGCAGAACCCTCGAAGAATTTGGGCCGACTCCGCCCTTTGAGTCTCCACAGGAATAGCAACGAAACATAGCTTAAATTCGATGAGTACTCTACGCAGACAACGGTGGCTTGACGTACGCGTTATCGAAGAGTTCCAAGAAAAATGCTGCCTTGAATAGTGCCCGTCCCAAGTCTTCGATAACAGCAAATCTTGATCGCGATGGGGAATGCCAGCAATGTAGGGAGCCTTGAGCGAGGAAAGACGACTGCGATGCGCACAAGGAGGATAGCTTCCGCAATCCATGGCATCCAGACGTCGATGACGGTGAAAACTAGTCCTGTTGCGGTGTCAAAACTACCCTGATGAAGATACTTTGCTATCCACCTTCCGTGAGGTTAACGGGTTCGAATGGGGCCAGGATAGGCTTCATCTGTAAGGCATAAGAACGAAAATCACCGGGTACAAGTGCACCATTTACCGCGAGGTGTGCATTCATTCCGGCAGCGATAATTCCCAGAGCGACAGAAAAGACGTTGAGGATGAAGATCGGCTTGCGCCTCGTCTGTGCTGTTGACAAAGCGAACAGCAACAGTAGCAGGGGGAAGAGGATTGAACCGAACACCGCTGACACGAGGAGGAAGGCGAGGGGCTCGCGGATAGCTTGCACATAGCCGTCGATGATTGGGGCTACCAAGGCAGTAGGAATGGGCAATGGTGGGCCGGACAGTGACATGGTGAATCCCCCAAAGAAATCCAGTTCCGTAGCGGTCTTTTATATGTCGAGTCCAACCCTGTAATCGAATTGAAGGTTTGAAGACTGTGAGAAATATCATGAGTTAAACACCTCTTGGACCACAGGCTGAGAATGATATTTCGTTTATGGTGTCGAGGAAACAGGGCCCGGCACTTGGTCTCTGTGCGAAGGACATATGTGGCCTGGTTTTCTCGTCGAGCGTGCAGCTGCAGCCAGGCCTGTCATCAGAGCAGTGAGAAATCTTCTTTGCTAACTGTTGGTTGGATTCTATTTTTCATCACGGACATCTGCTTATTTCAGTCTCTTGGCCGTCCAAAGGACGCCGAGAATGCACCAATATCACAGCAGGCACTACAACTGCATCCGACAGCTCTTCTATCTTCCCCATCCATCTATTTAAGTTAATGAGAGGCGAATATAAAGAGCCATATGTATATTCGCTCACAGGCTCTCCAAACAAAATGAGACAGGGTCATGATGGAGCCAATATTGGAACATAATTCCAACCTAATAGAAGCGTCGCGGCCCGCGAAAGCATATACTGTACTATTACATTCAATTCGAACGTCACGCGTCACCGGCCCGGGGGGGTTGTTCGTGTTCGAACTTTGGTCAGTGTCACCCGTCACCCGGTCCGGGTTCGAATTGGATATTCGGCTCGTGGAAGTCGCTTCAAAAAATCCGATTTTACTACTAAAAAATGCTGATAATCTTCTGGCGTCTCCCTATATTCTATAAAAACAATATTCAATAGTATTCTTCAACATCCGAGCGCTCCAGGACATATTCGAATTTTGGCACCTGTCACGGTCACCTTGGCCGGTGTTCGAATCAGGTACCGGAAACTTTCTGTCACCCGTCACCTCCCCGTTCGAATTGAATGCAATAGTACAGTACTGGCACAGTGGAGGGCTTAGAGATCCAAGGCTAATTCCTGGAATCTTCGGTGTTGTGGAAACTTCGGAAATGGCGTCCATGAGTGGTTGACTCAAGGTTGAACCAAAAGTTGAACCAAAAGAACGTGATCAGTGCCGCCCGGCAAACTGGGCCGAGTGCCGATGCCACCGCAGATGCTGTCTGGCCATTACCTTCCCACCATCCTCAGCCAACATCCTCCGCTCTCACCGTCCCAAAGCCTAGGGAAGGTCTTCCGCACCTACCGGCGCTGAAGTACCCGGACCTCGAAGACTGGATATTATTCTAGCCATGTACTATTCTAGGTGACTGGCGCACACTGCAGTGCCTCTTCCGCTTTTTTTCAAGGGGGAAAACCAAGAAAACCTTCCCCAAAACTCCTCCATCTATCCCATACGGTTTAAAGACTCACATTTTCAATTCCCATCTCTTCAATCCCCATGCCATCCCTTCTGCCCTCAAGACAAGACTTCACTCGACGCACTGGCTAACTTGCGGATCTATACTGCCGCATATCAACCGAGATGCTAACTCATTCCGGCATTCAACGGCTTTCGCTTCTCTCTTAACAGATGGTTTTTTTTCCGCCAGGCACAAATGAAACTCGGAGCGCGATATCAAGATCCCGAGGCTTCTGTCGTTCTCTCTACTCGATCATCTCCTTGCCCAATCATGAAAGTCGTGCGGTTCTCCACGATTAATTGGCACCCATCTTTGCGAATTGATGCGGTGATTGATTTCGCTACGCGTACTTCCTCCGCTGTGAAGACGATACGATCCTGAGATACAGGTACCTACATGTAGTGTGGTATTCCCCCCAAAGCTCTCGACGGCCACCCGCAGACTTCCGCACTTCGCCGCAATATATTTTCCCCTCTTTATCTCCACCTAGGAGGTCGGCGTCTGCAATTGCCGAGATGTAATGTGCTGATCGTGCGACACAGTCCAGTTCATCACTCGAAGAGTCGTCCTCGGCCGCAAATACATACATACCTCGACTTTCCTTCCGTTTCTTTCCTCACTGCTCAAAGAGCGGAGAGGCCGCCGGGTACGATCGATGATGCAACTACGACCAATGCTGATTTATCCCTCAGTTACGGCTGGGTGCTTCCGCCCTGAGCGACATGCTGCCTTTCAATATATGTGGTCCGGCCACAAACGGACTACATACGTTGAGCCTTGGTGGCATTCGTCACCCTCACTCTCTTCTACGGCTTTTTTCAGATAAGAATCACCGCATCGTTCCTGCCTTTCTCGTTGTCAATGTCAACATAATTCTCGCGGGCGATTCCAAATCCTAGTTGGTTGTGGCGCCGCTGCTACATGTTCGATGGAGATATGTCGCCTCCCACTTACGTTCGGAACTCAACTTTTGCAAATACAAAATTCTCAGTGAAATCCAAGTGTTGCAATCACCTGAGAGGTATTCTTAGAAAGAGAACTCGATGATCTGGTGAGTCAAATGAAGGGAATGCATATAGGTTGTTTATATTCGTGCGGTACAAAGCAGGACTCAAAAATTAGCCACGAGTCTCCTGCGCATGAAAGCGGTTTTTGTGATATTGGTTCAGCCGCCAGTGCGCCAAAGTTGTAGTGACTCGATATAAAACACACATTGTCTTGAGCATTGGAGGATAATAAAATCGAGGGCCAAACATCAAATCACCGCACAGCTGAACTGTTCCGACGAAAAGCTGTGAAGGTCGATCAAGTTGAAGTTGAACCACAAATCAGAAATCGGCACATCCCGATTCGGCTTCTCGGCATGCCAACGGCTATCAACGGCGTACAGCTCTTGTACATGTCCTGCTTACCTTCGCCCTTCGCTGCGCGTCTCCGACCAATTCGAATCCCCGTGAGCAAGGAAAAAAAATTACATTGGATGTAGCTGTTACCACTCAACTGCCTTCACAAAGGTCTCCCAGCGTCTCCCGATTCCGAATCTCAATCTGCGGGCGGCGGTCGCTGGCAAGACGCAGATGCGGGACCACTCTCGACACTGTGCTTGGCTGGATGCTGTACCATGCATTTGAGGCCAATTGATTTGCGAAATTTGAGACCTAACTCGACACGCGTCTCCGGAAATCAAGGCCTCAAGTTTACATCAGGAAACAACAATTTGTCCAGTAGCTCCAAGCCAGCAATTCATAGCTGTGGTAGTGCCGGTAGCGCCGATAGCAATGCCCAGTAGTTCCTGGTAGCTCTGGTAGCCCTGCAGCCAGGAGTCAGTAGCTCTGGTAGCCCTTCAGCCAGGAATTAGTAGCTCTGGTAGCCCTTCAGCCAGGTATCGGTAGCACCAGTAGCACAGCACTGATGGATCAGTAGCGGCTGATAACAAGGCTTCAGTACATGCTGCTATTATGAAACATAGAAAATAATTTCCTTTATCACTTTCAAGTAAGTATGGCAGTACTATAGTTTTCACAACATGTTGTCTGGATGCATGCTAACTGCAGGAGATTTCGATATGTGCAAATGGTGGAGGAGGACAGATTCAAAGTCCACTGCCAACTTGAATGGGTGTGAGATTCCATCTGTTCATTGAAGTCTAAACTGTTTGTGTGTCTAACGGCAATGTATATGTCGAGAGTGTAACACTGATTAGTTCATGTTGTTGAGAATAAGGAATGATGAAGGAAGTGAAATGTGTTTGTTAAGAGCTTAAATTAGGTGGTCTCTTTCTAGCCCCTGGAACGGTTGTATAGTCTAGAGGTATTTTGTCACTCCTCCAATTTTCTATATTCGCGCGAGGTCGCTAGTTCAATCCCGGCTGCGAACATTTCATTTAATCTTAGCAGTCAGACCCATATCATGTACACTGAGTAAACCAGTACAAATGTGAAGAACAAGTGAGAAAGCATGTGATTTAAGTAACAAAAAGGTTGATGGAGGTTGTTTTTTGTCGGCCACTGCACTGCTACCAGCCTGCTACCAGGTGCTACCAGACATTGGCGGGGGAGCTACCAGGAGCTATCAACAGGGGGACTAGACTACCGATCTACCAAAGCTACCGGTGCTACTGAGGACTACAGATCCAAGATGTTTTTTCCTGATGTAAATCGTCTAAAAATATGTTTGGGGTGTTATTGACAGCTTCTGTACTGCCTCTGAACAGCGCCTTCTTGTCATTTATTGCTTATGTTTCCCCAGTATTTCCCTGGCTTCCTTGCCTACATCGTCCTCGCCATCCATGCCCGTGTTCGCTCTCGGGTTCGGGTCCTTCGGCGACATCCTCGCCACCATTCAACTCGCCGTCAGAATCGCCATTGTTCTCCGCCAAAGCGGCAGGTCGATCGAGTACACCGATACGGAGAAGGAGCTCAAGTCGCTGAGCCACGACCTAGACCTTGCGCACCGCACTCTCCAGAAGAAGCTGGATTCTCCCCTCGCTCCGTTCGTCGCCGAGCGCATTCGGGACGAAGTTGTGCGATGTCATAAGCTCATGGCGCGCTTCTTCGCCAAGATCAGCGCGCCCCAAGGCCTCTGGCAGAAAGTTCGCAGGGCAGCTTCCCAGGAGAGAGATCTAGCCGCTTTCAAAATGCAGATGATCGAGCGCCGAACGGCTCTCAGCCTCGTCTTGGGCATCGTAAACTCGTGCGTTTCTCTTTGCCAGTTGTGCAGACTGACTCATTCGGCGCAGGGGCGCGTTGATGGCTGTTTGGGACCGTATTGAGGCGGTTGGCGACCAAGTCGTCCGTGCCCACGGCCTGATCCAAGACGCGCACAGCGGCGTGAGCCAACAGCTTGTCGACGTCGACGGCCAAGTCCGCCACGGACACAAGCTGATTCAAGACGGCATGAGCGGTATTATCCAACAGCTGGCAAACTACCTGTACCACGAGCAGGTGGTAGCGGTCATCAAGCACGTTCCCACTGGCGTCTCCGAAGCGATGCTCTTTGCTCTTTCTCCGACTGGGATATCAATTCCAATCCCGGCCACATACTGTGATTCATTCGAGGCAGGTGGTGTGCGTACTCCCCTCCAAATCGGGGCTGATTTGCTTCTTCCAGGTCTTGGACAACATTATCAGAAGTTACTCGCGTGGTTGGAAGGACGCCTTCGGACGTTACGTAGAGCGAGGCGACTATTGTGTCGTGGGACCTGCTGACACTGGCAGCATGAACCTAACAGCTGGAATGTCTTGTGATTTGGTCATCCTTCCGGGGCATAGACATGACATGAAACTCCCGTGGCCGTTATTAGACAAAGACCTAGCGAAACTGCGTGGCCACGCGTCTCCAAGCTATTTTGATCACTTCCCGCTCGTTCCAGGTTGTCGTGATGAGCGTGGGTGGCTCCGTGTGGACTGTGTTATTATGCTGTACAGTTATTATGCTGTACTGTCGGAACCCCCCAGTTGCCTCTTGTTTTGACGGCACTCGATCAAATACGATAAAACCTCTTCCTCCGAGCTGATTCCCTCCTTTGTTTCCAAGTTATTGACGACACCCTCAGTGCTTTCAACCTTATGTAGATCAATCTGATCTACTGTCATCAACTCTCCCTCCTCCCTCCGTCACCCCTCTTCCCGCTCCTCATCCTTTCCATCGCCCGTCTTTTGAGCTGGGTAATTTTATTTGCGGACATCCGAGTACAGCTCGGCTCAAGTCAGACGTCCAACTCCCACTCCAACTCCAAGAGCTCAACCGACGATGCCACTTTCCTTTATATTTCCCAATCATTTCTTCGTTCCACCACTGTCGGAAGTCCCTGTTCACTGCGCGCACTCGATGCAATGCAATGCATTCTCCCGCCTTTGAGTTGGCACTCCATTATTTCATTGATGAGATCGCCGATCGAAATCCAAGTTCAACTTCACGACGCTCCCCCTCCGTCTCCCTTTCCTCTTCCACATATCCACTTCTCAAAAGAGCCCAAGCGATCTCGCTGCACTTATCACTCGAAGGTCCACACGTGTGTTCAATCCTCTTTCGTGAATCGGCTAACTGTTGCAATTGATGGCAGCCTGAAGACACTTCCTCCAAACTATTCTATGTTCACCCTGAGCGCGCCCGATGCAATGCATTCTACCTAAGCCTCCAAGCTGGGGACGCTATCCCTCCTTTATCTTTCTTGCCAAGGCTGGGCTATTTGATTACTTTGTCGCACTTTTTTTCCCTCAGGCCTCAGGATCCCCACCTTTGAATTTAAATTTAGGTTAAATATGGCGTCGTCCTCATCCTCGTTTTCACAGATTTAAATACCTCGAATACCGTCATCTTCCACAACCAAAGTGCGGTCAAAGTTTAACCAAACCTACCGTCTAACTGAATATACTGAGATATCCTCTCTTCTCCCCTTGACTGTATCGTCTCTGTAGTATAGGGGTTAGTATTCTCGCTTGTGGCGCGAGTGACACCGGTTCGAATCCGGTCGGGGACATTTCGCTTTTTGCTTTTTTTTGTTACATTTTTTTGCCTTTGATTCCCTTCGGACCCCTCTTATTGGTTCTTTGGATTGTTACTTTATTTGGGTTTCGACGGTGATATCGGTGACAGATACACTACTAAGCGCGCCTTCGGGCCTCGTGGGTGATGTCCGACCGGCATTTATATTTAGAGGCTTCGGACCGCACGCCATCCTCCAACCCTCCTCTGTCGTTGATATTACGCATACCCCCGTCGGAAGTACTCCGTCTGTACCCGCTTTTGCTACGCCCCGTGGTGATACGGATGTGGCTGCTGTCCCGCCCGCTGCAAATTCGCCTGCAGCGCCGCAGCGGCGACGACAGCCGCCCCTGCATCACCTCTGTGCGTGTCTCCCGCGACGCTCGGCCTGGACTTGGAACACCCAACATCTCCAGAGCCGCCGGACGCTCTCGCTGTCCCACCCCAGCCTACACTCGTCAAAGCTCTCAATAGAACTTCTTGAGTGATTACTCTTACTATTACAGTCCTATATTAGCACTGTTGGGAAGAGTGTCGCCCGCGGCCGTCAAGCATCGTGCTTATCTACCAGGTTCCTTGATTCCACCGCGCTTCCGCTGCACTCATCTCACGATGTCCCCGGGCGCGCCCCGTTTTTTACTTATGAACGTTTGCACTCGAAATCGGGCTTTACGCGGGATATGTGGGAAAGGCCTGAAGCAAATTTACTTGCCGACGAGACCAGTACAAGCCTTACAGACCTCTCGACTGTCCGGTTGCACCAACTCCATGCAGGAAGAAGATATTCCGAGGTTTTCCCACACTGGCATATCAAACGTGAGATTGATTTCGGACTACGCACTAGGCCTCCTCCTTGCCGCTTTGGACGTCTCATTTCTTAGCTAACAGATGCATATCCCTCGGGCAGACCTTAGCAGACCGCCCTTGGTACGTACGCCGGTTGGCACAGCGTAAGATGGCCGTTCAACAAATTACAATTTCACTTGGGCTCTCGGGATGTTCCAACCACGATGACCAAGAGAATGGCCCTCTTCAACCTATGGATCCCATAATACATGCTCCCCGCTTTTCTTGGCTTCTTCCTCTTATCTATGCCTTCATCTTCGGCGACTCTGCCTCGGCGTCTAAATTTAACCACTGTTCAAACGATTCATTCGCAATCCCGCACGTCTATTGAGTCGGACTTTTTGGCGAGCTCTGTAATCCCGAAGTTGGGCGACACTAACTGACGCTATGACTAGATTTTCAGGGCCGATTCACCACTAATACGGAGCTATCTGTGGGATGAAACAATCCGACATGACAGGCAGACTGAGGTCGATAGGCCAACGTAAAGCCTGGACAATGCGATATTGTTTTCGCCGCCTTGTAGCACAAGCAACAGGCTTCTTGAACTGCGAGGTTGAGAATCGCAGAGCTTGTGTTAATATTTTTTCTGGAACTTCGGGCCCGACCGGGCACGTCTTCCAAGTTGGTATGTTCAAACTTCAAAGGTTCGCGATCCGGGAATTCACCCGGCTTCGGTTCCGGGACCTTGATGCACTGGTTGTTCCTAGTTTATCACCTCAAGTTTCTCAATGCGGCGATACCGTTCAAGAGTAACCCAGAATGGACCTCCCCTCGAATACAATCATTCGCATGGTTTGGATCACGGCCTGGGAATCCCGCTTCAAAGCTCTGTTGGACGAAGACGAATGAGCTAATGCATTTAAACGGTAACATATAAAAGCTGCCCAAGTTCATAGCTTCACTTCAGCGCCTTTCCCTCATCCGACAATGCGCAAATCAACCCTCTTTCTCGTTTCCATTTTGTCCCTTGGGCAGTTTGTCACTGCTCATCCTGGAGTCAAGGACCTCCCGCCGCGTCGACGGACCCCCCAGCCGCGTCGTACCAAGTCGCTGCTGATCAGTAAGGCGTCGTTTAACCGTGTTCCGAATTTTCAACCTCATGTCGGACTCTCCACAGGCCCCGCTGCGCTCCCTGATTTGCCGACCCCGGATGCTGTTGCAGCCTTGGACGACCCTCTGGACATTGACAACATCCAGTCCGATATTCTGGCTGGCATGAAGAAGAACAAGGAGCTCTTCTTTTTCTTCAGTGTGAATAACGCTGCGACATTCAAGGCGAAACTCGCCTCCGACATCATCCCATTGATAACGACAACGACCGAGATCCTCTCCGTCGACACCCAGCCCGTCACAGCTGTCAATATTGCCTTCTCCCACACAGGACTCGTCACACTCGGAGTTTCTGAGTTTGTTTGTTCCCGTGTGCACGTCGTCAATCATACTAATTTATGTTCCTAGGCCCATCGGAGATCCTGATTTCGACGCCGGTCAATTTTCCCAGACGTCGACTATCGGTGACAATCCTTCTCTCTGGGAGCCGGCATTTGCAGGTACCAGCATCCACGGAGTAATTTTGCTTGCATCGGATACCGTCGCGAATATCAACACCGAACTGGCGAACATTCAATCGATTTTGGGCTCATCCATTACGGAAAGGCAGGTGGCTCTGAGATTGCCGTCCTCGGATTCTAACCGAGTTCGTAGTCATCGTTTACAAGGCGGTGCCCGCCCTGGCTCGGAGGAAGGCCACGAACACTTTGGTTTTATGGTAAAGATTATTGTTTGTCTATCCGCCCAGGTAACCAATCCTCGTGTTTCAACAGGATGGCATTTCGCAGCCAGCCGTTAATCGCTTCACGAGCCCAGTTCTCCCCGGTCAGACTCCAGGTATTTACCAGTTCTTTTGCCCAGAAATGTACACTAACACAGCATGTGTGTCTAGTTGACCCTGGTGGGTATTTTCACGCATGTTGAATTTTTCCAATTTCACAAAATGTTTAGGTACCTTCTTGCTCGGAGAGCTTGGCGATGCTTCTCAGGATTCCCGACCTTCTTGGGCCATTGACGGATCGTGCGCATCTCTCCCAACACTCCGTTGATGGTATACTCAATTTCCTCTAGGTTTTTGGTGTTCCGTAAACTTCAGCAATTTGTACCGGAATTCAACAAGTTCCTGACTGACAACCCGCTTGAGGTCGGCGTACTGAGCCCAGCGGAGGGATCAGCGCTACTCGGTGCTCGCATGGTTGGGCGCTGGAAGAGTGTTAGTGATTTTACTTCCGTGCTTGACGGTCCAAAGATGTAATTTCTCGGTCTAGGGAGCTCCCGTATACCTGGCCCCGACCGCGGATGACCCCGTTCTCGCGGCCGATCCCAACAGAAACAATGACTTCACTTATCTCGTCGATTCGGATCCTTCTCCTAGCACAGAGAACCACTTCAACCAAGATAAATGTCCATTCAGTGCCCATATCCGAAAGGTTCATCCTCGCGGGGATCTAAGTCCCGGAGGTGAAAATCAGCACTTCATAATCCGTTCGAGCATTCCCTATGGTCCGGAAGGTATATAAATCATACGCTCGAATGAAGAAAAAACCAACTGTTTCACAGTAACGGCTGCTGAAGCTGCCTCCAGCACCACGACCGTCGACCGCGGCCTTGCTTTCGTCTCTTACCAAAGTTCGCTGTTTAATCTCTGCGACATCGATATTGGCAACTAATTCAGTATAGGTAGCGTCTTCAACGGCTTCACATTTTTGCAGAGCATCTGGATCAACAACGTTGGGTTGGTTTTATTAATCTTAACTTTGTCGCAGCTCCCTGATTAAGTTCGCGACAGTTTCATCTTTGGAAAAATAGACCCGTACGTATATCAGTTGCATCTCAGTCGGATACTAACCTTCATCTCGCAGCACGATCGGCGTTGACCCGATAATCGGTTCGCTCGGCGGGGGCCCAAAGAATATCTCTGGTCTCGATCCCCGCTTCGGTGTCCCTGATCGGTCGGTTGACCCCCTCGATGATCCCGAACACGATGTCGTCCTCCCGCGCGGTATGAGATTCTTTACATGGTAGTGTACATGCGGCTCACCTGTCTACAGACTTCGTTGTCTCCAGAGGCGGCGAATACTTCTTCTCGCCTTCCTTGAGCGGTCTCGGGAGCATCGCCGCAGCGTGAAAGAAATTTAAACTGAACACGTACATAAATTTGCTGCTTTTTATTTTTTTTCTCTGGGAATATGGTTGACTTTGCTCCGAAAATACAGACCAAGTCCTCGATAGGCGTAGATAATTTGGTTGTAACTGAAGTGTCTTTCTTTTGTGTTGAATCCAGTAACCTTTTGAGCATTTACAAAAACGCGCCCCAGCACTTTCCCTGAACCTCAGTCGTACTACAGAGCGGAGTTCCGAGCCTTTGAAGGCGATGGGGGGTTTCAACAATTTGGAGCGTATCCATTTCGCCCACCACCTTTGGGTATTCTCCCAGTACCTCCACCGTCGCCCAGGTCCGTGTAACTTGTTCTTGCTTGATTCTCGCGCGCAAGGTCGTCTGGATTCACTCAAGCTGGGACTCTTTCAGAGGGCAGACGGCCAGTGCCGGTGTACTTAGGGCGAGGGGATGTTGAAGTTGATATTATTGAGAGTGGGAGGGAGATCGAGATGGAAATAACATAAAATTGAGTACTAGTGGACGCAGAATGAAGACCACTCTTGCTAGTAGAGCTGGCGAGCGCGATTCGGGATTCGGGATTCTGAATTGCAGATGCTGAAGTCTACTGCGGGGTGTCTGATGTACTCGGTATCGGTGACGGCACGCAGGGCGGCAGCGCGCCTGGGTCGGGGTCGGGGTCGGGTGGGTTCGAACTCGAACGCGGTGCGAAGGCGTAGGATTCTGACGTGGTGCGGGGGAGCAGGCAGAGTGGGGCGAATTTTAATTTTAATTTTGGGGAGCTTGGAGGACTCGTCTGAATGTGGATGTGGGGTTAGGCGTGATGCCGTGGCTACTTTATTTTGAAAGGAGAATGTATGAATATATTGCCAGCGCGGGGGTGAGAGAAGGGGGATCTGAGTTCAGAGGACGTAGGTAGTTGGGGGCAATGGAGGAACGGGCGACCCGGGAGTGAAAGGAGGAGATTCGGGGAGCGG